ATGTTTTTTTTGGCATTTAACGATCGCTTTAATTGGAAACAAGCCTAGTTTACGTTGATGAATCATTACAGCACAAAAACAAAACCACACCTTCCCGACGAGGATGGGATTCGAACCCACGCGTGCAGAGCACAATGGATTAGCAGTCCATCGCCTTAACCACTCGGCCACCTCGTCAAGATGCCAGGAATTTCCAAAATGTTGGATGTGTTTTAATACCAAAACTAGATATTGGATTTAGACAGACTACTTCAAGAAATGATTGATTTTCTATTGTGCCTAGGTGAACATGCAAACACCAAGAGAAGTCTAGGAAGGGAAATCAATATCCGGCATCCTGAAAGCAACCTTACCTGACATTATGAAGGAGGATGTCACTGAGCCATCACCTTTTACTACTTCTCTCTCCTGATCTTCACTGAGCAGGCAGATGGCTGCTCTATGTCTGCTCCACTTATGCAGAGCAGACATGGCCTGACCAATCAGATATAAATGGACCGCCTGTCCATTTACACCCAACTGTCATACAATCTGAATCGCTAGGGCTAGGCGGATGGGGAACCGATCCCCATCTATCTATTTTCAGCTGATTGGATTGGATGGGATGTAGGTGGGTGTGAAAGAACACATGTCCATTTACACCCACTGTTCCATAGAGAACAACAGAGGGTCTAAATGGGCAGCACAGTGGCTAAATGGTTAGCACTTCTGCCTGGTAGCACTAGGGTTGTTGGTTCAAATCCCAAACACAGCACCACCTGCTTGGAGTTTGTATGTTCTTCCTGTACCTGAGTGGGTTTCCTTCAACACTCTGAAGACACGGAGAGTCTGTACATGCTGGTTGGCTCCTGTCTAAACTGTCCCTACTATGTGAATTAGGGACCTTAGATTGTACACTCCTTGAGGGCAGGGACTGATGTGAAAGTATGTAAAGTGCTGCATAAATTGACAGTGCTATATAAGTACCTGTAGTTAATAAATGGGTCCTCCTGAAAACTGACAGGCAAAGCCCATCAGTCCACTCCTATGAAAGGGGTCTTAGAGAAAGTACTAAGGTGGACAGAAAAAGATTAAGAATATTGCAGTGTTAACAAATTCTGCTTCAAGAATTTACATAGCGTGTATGGAGATCTAATCAGAAACCTTGGTGTTATTATCAGGGCTGCTGTTAGAAACCACAGGGCTCCTTACAGTCAACCTGACAGGACTCCCCACCAATCCACAGGGCCCCATCTCCACAAAACAAACTCAGTTTACTATGCTTCAGTTATGAATGAACACAGTGAGTGATTGGCCTACCCAAACAAATGCTATCTCCACTCCAGTCAATCCTAAGCGCAACGGCTAGACGCATCCACCTCACCAACCGCTCTCTATATCTGCCTCCCCCCTCTGCCAATCCCTTCATTGGCTCTCGATTGCCCAACGCATCAAATTCAAACTGCTAACTCTGACCTACAAAGCTATTCACAACACCGCCCCAAACTACATAACTGACCTGATGCCCAAATACTACCCTACCCGTGCCCTCCGCTCCTCACAGGACCTCCTACTCTCTAGCTCCCTGGTCTCCTCCTCCCACGCCCGATTGCAGGACTTCCCCCATCCTCTGGAACTCCCTACCACAATACCTCAGACTGTCACCTACCCTCCTCACCTTCAGGCGCACCCTGACAACCCTCCTCTTCAGGGAAGCCTACCCCAACCTCACCTAAACCCGACCTCACCTAACAACTAACCTCCTCCACTCCTCCCACCACTCCATCCCCCACAGCCATCCCCTCCTGTGCCACCTTCCCCTCCCTCCTAGATTGTAAGCTCGAAAGAGCAGGGCCCTCGAACCCCTCGTGTATTGTATTGTTACTGTCTTGTCAGGTGTTCTGTCCCCCACTATAATGTACAGCGCTGAGCATACCCTTTGGCGCTATATAAATACTGTATAATAATAATAATTGGTACCAATCACTCAATATGTTCTTTCAGGAAAGGAAGGGGCTGGAAAAGTTCTGGAACTGATCCCCTGAAAGCTGAAAGCCAGTGGAGAGGAGAAGAAGCCAGCTTTCAGCTGCTGCCAAGAGAGACATACAGGGGATCTGTTCCAGTAATGCCCCGAACCCCCCACCCCACCACCGTGCTGGTCACCCTCCCTGCCCATGTCTGATTCACCCAGCTGCCTGGGCCCCATACAGGACTGGTGGTACCCCCTTATCCACGGCCTTGGTTATTATCATTGTGTTCTACTGGACTGAGTTTGCTGGGTTTTTCATGAACTGTGAATGAGCATATATACCGGTCTGTATGTTCAAACTATTGGAATCACTTCTAAATGCTACCAGTCTACTTAGCAAGTGTTTTGTCAAGAGACAAGGACAGATGGAGTGGGAAATTCTAAAACTAGTGCAAATGTAGCTACATAGATCAAGTCCGTTGTGCAACAGTAGCGGCCTGACTCCAGATCATGGTTGCATCATCAAGGTTGCATGTCCAAATCACATCAGGGGCAATTGTATTTTCATAACCAGCTACTTAGTTACATTTGTTTAAAATGCAATTTATTTTTAGTTGTTCTACAACAGAGAAGATGCCATGATCAGGGGCTATGGTTGTGGGACTTCGAAAATTTGAAGCCAAATGACGGGGTATACACCAATTGAGCAATTGGGCAGCACAGTGGCTAAATGGTTAGCACTTCTGCCTAGCAGTACTCAGGTCGTTGGTCTGAATCCCAACCACAACACCACCTGCCTGGAGTTTGCATGTTCTCCCTGTGTCTGCGTGGGTTTCCTCCGTGTACTCCGGTTTCCTCCCACACTCTAAAGACATGCTGGTAGGTTAATTGGCTCCTGTCTAAATTGTGCCTAGTCTGTGTAGGGTTGTATGAATGTGAGTTAGGGACCTTAGATTGTACACCCCTTGAGGGTCAGGGACCTTAGATTGTACGCCCCTTGAGGGTCAGGGACCTTAGATTGTACTCCCCCTTGAGGGTCAGGACCTTAGATTGTACCCCCCTTGAGGGTTAGGGACCTTAGATTGTACGCCCCTTGAGGGTTAGGGACCTTAGATTGTACACCCCTTGAGGGTTAGGGACTGATGTGAATGTACAATATATATGTAAAGTGCTGTGTAAATTGATGGCGATATATAAGTACCTGAAATAAATAAATAATTGATAGAAACTCATTGGTAGCTAGGTGTCAATTTCTCAAATGCCCAGCTGCCTATTTACATTCCAAATATGAACATTTGTCCACTATGACCACTAAAATGATAAAACATCTGTGATAGCAATTCTATTTTAGTGTCATAATTCCCATTTAGTCTCTTGTGCTTATGTTCATTGAGAACGACAAGCCGTCAGCCACAGAAGCTGTCAGGAGCGGGACTTGCAGTCTTCCCATTAACCTCCCTAGCGGTCTGATTATGTCAGTATTTCTGTGCTCAAAGAGGTACATTTTTTGCATAGAAATATGTTGTTTTTTTTATTGTAGGCCTGTAATTTTTAGGAATAACTCACTGAAATCTGTCCGAACAAGAGTCTAGTAAACATCCCGGGTATGATAATACTTGAAACACGAAATCATAAATTATAATATAATAAATAATCATAAAAAATAATAATATAATAATAAGAAATTTAATTCAATAATATAATCAAACCAAAAACACTGAAATGTGAAATATAGCGCCAAGTTCGCACATCGCTGAGCTCAGTCGCAGAATCGTTTTCAGTGTCTGATGATGAATTTCCCCCACGAATCATTATCACTCAATTCTGCAAGTGGTTCTGATTTACTATCGCTGTTCTCTAGCCGGTCTAAAACCGCGTTTGACCTAAAGGGACGCTTTTTTGGACGCCATGGACGTTTCTCAGTTTCCAGGCAGAAAGAACAGTAAAAATGCAGGCAGGGCGCCGGACAAAGCACTCGGGACAAAATGTATGTGAAATGGTTTGATACAGGAATGTTATACTATGTGATTTTACTGTATTTAGTGAATGTCACTTTTACATTTTTTTTAATTTCCCGCCAGTTCCGTCCCCCGTACGTCCCGACGCTCGCAGGGACCAGAACCCAGAAGGCGGATGCCGGCATCAGCCGGAGAAGATGGCCGGGGACACTGCAGGGGGGACATCGCGGGAGCGCAGGACAAGGTAAGTGATTGAGGGAACCCTGAGCAACGCTGCATGGTAATCCTGAGTGTAGCTCGGGAATACCGCTTGTGGTACTGAAAGTTTACCCCGAGCTACACTCGGGAATACCGCCAGGAGGGTTAACAGAACACTGTGGATGTATGGCGCTGCAGGGTGGGCGGAGCCCCACACAACCACATTTTTTAAAATTTGTGACAGCTAGCGGGAGGAGAAGAGCCCCCGTGAGCTGTCACAAGAGGGGAGCGGGGGCCGGTCCTTTCCTAACAAGTTATGAAAGGTGAACTTATCCTTTAAGGCATCTTGGCACAATACAGCAGAGCCAGGGTGAGGTTTTATATTATTTTAGTGTTTGTAGGTATTATTAGGCAGTCTTGTCATTATGTCATGATATTCTTTTTAAGCCCTCGCCCTCCAGAGGATTTACACCCTTCCTAACCAGGCCATTTGTTTGCGATACAGCGCTGCGTTATTTCAACTTACAATTGCGCGGTCATGCAACGCTGCACCCAAATGAAATTTACGTCCTTTTTTCCCACAAATGGAGCTTTCTTTCGGTGGTATTTGATCACCTGTGCATTTTTATTTTTTGCGCTATAAAAAAAAAGGCCGACAATTTAACAGAAAAAAAAACAATTTGGACTTTTTGCTATTAAACATGTCCAGTAAAAAAAAAAAAAAAAAACAAATTTCATCATAAAATTTAGCCCAAAATAAATTTTGCTCCATGTCTTTGCTAAAAAAAAAATCCCAATACGCATAAATTAATTAGTTTGCATGAAATTTGAAGCTTTTACAAATGGCAGTTTATATAATGGAATTTTTTTTTTTTTACTAGTAATGGTGGTGATCAGCAGGACTGCGGCGGGCATTCTGACACAGGGGGTAACTGACTTGGTGGCACTGACACCCCCAGTGACACCAATACAGTGATCAGTGCTAATAAAAAGCACTGGCACTGTACTAATAGCACTGGGCAGGAAGAGGTTAACATCTGGGGCAATCAAAGGGTTAACTGTGTGCTGTTTTACTGTACACAGCACGTGTGTGCTTTACTTGGGAAGCATGCTGTTGTTGCTGGCAGGACCTGTGTTGTTTATTTGGCAATCGCCAGGTACTGTTGGAGAACCTCTGGCCGGGACCCGGTGACTGACATCTGTAGCCGCTAATGGTGGCGCGGGTAGGGCAGCGCGCAATAATACGCGTCACCTACCTGGAAATGCAAATCACATATATATACTTGAGTTTGCTTAGCCCTGCCGCCCTGTAGCAGTATCTATGCTATAGGGCGGTGGATTAACTGTGTGCTCTGTGTGTTTTACTATGTGGGCAGTGTGTGCTTTCCACTGTAAGCACACTGCTTTGTATGGCTCTGCTATTCAGAGCCATACAAAGCAGTGTGTAGGAGCTAACAGGGGAGAGACCTGTATTGTTAACATACAGTTCTCTCCCTCCGTAGGTACTTCTTGGCGATCACCAGGTGCCGGCGAGTAATCACCGGCCAGGACCCAGTGATTGCCAGCCAAGGCCGCGAATGGCAGCGCAGGAAGCGCGCCCACGCACCCCCTACCCAGAAATGCAAAATCATGTATATATATGTGATTTTGCGCACCCCTGCAGCAGTATTTCTGCTATTGGGCGGCGGTAAAGCGGTTAAAGCGTTGATAGCAATATTGTCTCCCTAGCCTTAGTAAGAAAGTCCCCATCTTGGGTCTCAGCTAGACCTGAGAGAATATGTTGTCATGGAGGCTAATCCTTACCTGTTTTTTTTCTTATGGGGAACCATGCATGATGAATAGAGGAAGATGAGCGTGTGATTTCACTGATCATCTGCCTAAATGCCACATCTAGTCTTGGTCAATCACACTTCCCCTGGTGGGAGTGTACATTATTATTATTATTATTATACAGGATTTATATATTATTATTATTATACAGGATTTATATATTAATATTATTATACAGGATTTATATATTATTATTATTATACAGGATTTATATAGCGCCAACAGTTTGCTCAGCGCTTTACAATATAACGGGAGACAATACAGCAACAATACAGTTCAATACAAGAGGGATAGGAGGGCCCTGATCCTTGGAGCTTACAATCTAGGAGGGAGGGGCTAGTGGTACAAAAGGTAGTAACTGTGGGGGATGGACTGGTTGGAAAAGTAGAAGATTCCATTATTAGCTGAGGGCAGGATAGGCTTCCCTGAAGAGATAGGTTTTCAGAGATCTCCTAAAAGTGAGCAGAGTAGGCGATAGTCTGATAAATTGGGGTAGAGAGTTCCAGAGGATGGGGGAAGCTCTGGAAAAGTCTTGGAGACGAGCATGAGAGGGGGAGAACAAGGGAGCTAGAGAGCAGGAGGTCGTGCGAGGAGCGGAGAGGACGGTTTGGGTGATATTTGGAGACAAGATTGGTGATGTAATTGGGGCCGGAGTTATAAATGGCTTTATACATTATTGTTAATGTTTTAAAATGTATCCGTTGGGCAATGGGAAGCCAGTGGAAGGATTGTCAGAGAGGGATGGAGGCCAGTGGAGGGATTGGCAGAGAGGGATGGAGGACACTGAGTGGAGGCCAGTGGAGGGATTGGCTGAGAGAGTGGTGGGATTGGGTGGAGGACACTGAGTGGAGGCCAGTGGTGGGATTGGTAGAGAGGGATGGAGGACACTGAATGGAGGCCAGTGGAGGGATTGGCAGAGAGGGATGGAGGACTGAACTGAGTGGCGGGATTGGCTGGCAGAGAGGCCAGTGTAGGGATTGGCAGGAGGGGTGGCAGATTCAGAACGGTTAGTAAGGTGGATAAGTGACATATATAGCCAATGAGCCAGTTTGGACACTTTGGTGCAGAACTGGCATACATTTTGACAAACAAGAAACCCATTATTTTCTAGTACCCTCACAATTCTAGAAACATTATGTTTAAAGGGGAAACCAGTCGACAAAACCACTTCTTTGGCCTATTCATGGCTTCAAAACACTTACTCTGAACCCCTGATAATTTTCTGACGGGTTGGGAATCAGCCCTTAAGGTAAAGTTCTCTGATGAGCAATGGAAAAAAGCCTGCATTTTTGCTCACAAATGCTCTATTAGCACTAGAACCCAAGAAACCTCCTACAAATTGTTAACAAGATGCTAAGCCGGATAGGTTAAAGAGGTGGTTCCCCCAGATGTCAGGCTTATGTAGGCGCTGTGTGTAAGCTGAAGGCTTCCTGTTTGGTGACAATGTCCAAATCTTATACCATTTTGGGACAAAGTTCGTGAGTTGACATACTCTATTACTGAGACCACATTACCCTTAACCCCCAAATGTTGTCTCCTCAATATCTCTCTTTGAAATCATACAAGAAATCCTTGGTTCGGCACCTTTTGAATGCGGCCAAGTCCCTAATCCCCAGGCGTTGGAAGACTACTCATGGCCCTTCGATCCAATATTGGATAAGAGAGGTTAACGTCATTCAGGAGTTAGAAAGGACATTGACTATGACTGATGGTATGGTTGCCCGATTCCACAATTATGGTCCAGTTGGTATGCTTTCCCTTTCTCAGAAACGTATAGAGGGATGATGGGTGAATAACACTTTTTTACTTGATGTACGTATCATGCTGGTGGATACTTGACACCGCTTGCAGAATGGATCTATTCTTACGATTGCTGTTCTCCTTCTTCCTTTACTAAACTTCATTCTTCTGTTCATATTTCTTATGTCAGATTTGATGTTTTTACCTGCGATTTATAAACGTCTCCATTTGTGACTGCTTCATGTAGACCACTGGAATGATTGTACTATCGAGCTTTTCCTGATGCCAACATTTGATACCATGTACTACATGACTTTATAATCTGTAAAGCTTTTTGTAGTTCACTGATGTTTATATGTTCTGCTTTTTATGAATAAACGTCAACTGTTTAAAAAAAAAACCCATTAGGATAAAACTAGACCAGAATATCTGCTTTTAAAATTTGAATGCTTTAGCCAAAAACAAACCTAGTTTATCCCAAAGAACAAATCTCTCAAAGCTGATAAGGATGGGATTTAAACCCATGCATGCAGATCATAATGGATTAGTGGTCCATTGCTTTAACCACTTGGTCACCTCATCAGAAATGTGCCAAAACCTAACAAGAGGCTTGTCAATGCAATTTTTAAAAACTTTTCCTAAAGTGAAAATTGATATTGGGTTTATAATGAAGATTGCTAGAAAGTAAAGAAGCATAGCTAAAGCTTTTTTGACTTTATATTTCAGATTGATAACAGGAGTGCAGTCATAGATGTGTGCACAGGGTGTGCTGGTTGTGCCTGGGCACACCCTAATCACCCCGTGTGCCAGGGCCACTAATAAATCAGTACCATACCATCAATACTCTCCTGTACCCGGCCCAGCCCAGGCTCTATCAGTTCAAATGGGGGGCCTGGGGCCTATTGCAGACACCAATCTTCTTGTTCCTCCCTCTGCAACACAGCCTGCTTTTCCGCTTCTTCCTTCCTCCAGCTGTGCTGGAAGGGGATCAGCTCTAGCTTCTGAGACCCCATCTGGGCCCCCTTATGTGCCCTTTTCTCCCACAACACTTCCAGTTTCCCTCCTCTCTCACTGGCAGCTGCTATGGGTACACAGGGGGTTGTTTCATGATGTAGAGCAGGGGAGGGGGGTGGTAAATACACTGCTCAAAAAAAATTAAAGGAACACTTTGAAAACACATCAGATCTCAATGGAGAAAAACCTCCTGCTGGATCTCTATACTGATATGGACGGGGTAATGTGTTAGGGACATAAGGATGCCCCATTGTTTAATGGAAATGAAAATTATCAACCTACAGAGGACTGAATTCAAAGACACCTTGAAAATCAAAGTGAAAAAATTATGCAGCAGGTGAGTCCATTATGCTGAAACTTCATTGCAGCAACTCAGAATGATCCTCAGTAGTTTGTATGGCCCCCACGTGCTTGTATGCATGGCTGACAACATCGGGGCATGCTCCTAATGAGACGACGGATGGTGTCCTGGGGGATTTCCTCCCAGATCTGGACCAGGGCATCACTGAGCTCCTGGACAGTCTGAGTTGCAACCTGGCGGTGTCAAATGGACCAAAATATGACATCCCAGAGGTGTTCTATTGGATTTAGGTCAGACGAGCGTGGAGGGCATTCAATGGTATCAATTCCTTCATCCTTCAGGAACTGTCTGCATACTCTCGCCACATGAGGCTGGGCATTGTCCTGCACCAGGAGGAACCCAGGACCCACTGCACCAGGAGGAACCCAGGACCCACTACACCAGCGTAGGGTCTGACAATGGGTCCAAGGATTTCATCCCGATACCTAATGGCCTTCAGGGTGCCATTGTCTACCCTGTAGAGGTCTGTGCGTCCTGCCATGGATATGCCTCCCCAGACCATCACTGACCCACCACCAAAACGGTCATGCTGAACCATGTTACAGGCAGCATAACGTTCTCCACGGCTTCTCCAGACCCTTTCACATCTGTCACATGTGCTCAGGGTGAACCTGCTCTCATCTGTGAAAAGCACAGGGAGCTTTCCGGGAGGTGGACCGGCTACTACAAGACCAGTTCATAATGGGGCTCTCCAACAAGTTCTTACAGAACAAATTGCAAGAGATGACCCAGACGGCACCCAACATGACATTCTACAGCATCTACTTAGCCGCCATGGAGAGAGAGGAGGAGTGCATACCTGTGGCGGTGAGAATAGTGAGTAGTACCCATGCTACAAGAGGTCAGTCTGCATCTGAAGACTCAGAATCCTTAAAGGATGTGGTCCAGGCCCTGCGGACAGAATTAAGAGAACTTCGGCTGGAAGTGTCCCAGATGAAGGCAGAATCTCCCCGGTCCCTGGAAATGACCTCAGCGCCACTCCACTCAGGATGACTCAGCTGCGGGGGCACGTCAAAAGGGGACCCCTCTGTTGGGCTTGTCGACAGTATGGCCACATGGCCAGAGAGTGCCCAGAACAGATGAAGACCGAGCCGACGTTAAACTTCCAGTAGCTGGGCGTCATGTGGTGGTACACCAGAAGCTAAGCCCTAAGCATGAGGAACACGACCTGTATGCTAGCAGCCCTGTTATGGAAGCTGAGGTGGAAGGCCAGAAGAGTTCTTCGAAAGACACTTTGGACATATAATGGAGCCGGAAGACGGGAGCGTCATCAAGCTGACGGCTGCCAATAACAGAGAGATGGACGTCCGAGGAATAGTCTGGATGCGAGTCCAGCTGTGTGGGCAAGACATCGGCAAAAAGGGGGTCGTGTTGGTGGATCATTCGTCCCAGAGAGGGATGGACGTGACACTAGGTATGAACGTGCTGAGGGACCTAGACCACCAACTTCATGCCAAAGAAGGGCCGAGGTATTGGCAACGGGCGACCACACACCGGCCAACCCAGAAGGTTCTACAGCAGATGGTGAGGAGCTGTAGTCTGCGAAAGGGCGACATGTCCGGTCGGCCCATTGGACACGTGAGGGTGCCGCGCAGGACCCCGGTGAAGATCCCACCTCAACATGAGCAAATATTGATGCTGCCGGTTGGGGCTGGACAACGACTGAATGGACTGGAGGTCCTGATCGAGCCCGCTTGCCAAGAAGAAACGCAGACTCATCCACTGGTAGCCCGGGCCCTCGCTATTGTGAAGGATGGATGTTTGCCTGTACGCTGCCTCAACGTTGAAGATCGAGAGTTAACTGTCCCTGGGAATACCTTGCTGGCCAAAGTTTGTGTCCGAAGGGGATATTCCTCGACGGAGAAGCTTCACGCTATGGGCAGATAGGAGATCAGCCTGGACCTATGCTGTAGAGGTCCATCAAAGGGAGACACTGACAGCGGAGTGGAACGGTCGAGTGATCATGACCCGAATGGGGGTGGACTGCAAGATCCTGACTCCAGAACAACAGAAGTTGCTGAATGACACCCTTTGAGAGTTTCAGGAGGCCTTCTCGAGACATGATGAGGACTTCGGGTGCAGGGGCGGACTGATAATTCATGGGGCCGCCAGGCAATAGGGGATCTCGGGGCCCCTGTGTCCTTGCCAAAACTCAAAAAAAACCTATGAAAAAGGTCGCAGGGGCATCTCATGAGGCCCCTACTGACCCCGGGCCCTCGGGCAGTGCCTGAGTTTCCAAATGGTCAGTCCGCCCCTGTTCGGGTGTGTCTCCGCCATCAAACATGAAATCCCCACCGGCAATGCTGCACCGATCAGGGAAAACCCCTCCTAAAATGTACCAGGAGGTGAAGGCTATGGTGGCCAGCATGTTGGAAAAACCAGGTGATCCAGGAGAGTCAAAGTCCTTGGGCTGCTCCAGTAGTCTTGGTGCGGAAGAAAGATGGGAGTCTCCGCTTCCACCCATACACTGATTCCTGCTCTTTTAGGGTAATAACAGGTAAGGTGTGGCAGCTTAGTTGTGCCCGCCAGTAGGTAAATTACTACACCTTCTACCTTCATCCATCAGGAGGCGCCGTGCTGTGCAGCACAAGGGTCTCAGCCTTTGGGCTGAGTGTATGTAAATTTATTGTATGTTTCCAGTATTTGTGGTTGTGTTTATTTGCCACATCTAAGTAAAATTCTGCTGTGGCAAAAGCTGGTGTTGGGGTTGCTTTCCTCGTTCGTGACTTCACTGTATCCTGGGGAGCCCACCCCGGTACACGGCTTACAGCTTGCCACCATCCGCAGTCAATCAGCTGACTGGTCTGTAGGTAACCATACACACAGTCCATACACACAGAGTCCTGTCTGCTATTTTACATACAATGACACTAATCTGCATG